CCACCCTCTCTTTGCAATCCCAAAGATCTGAGATGCACTGTGTCCCCAAACCGAGCACTAGAGCCCAAGACCAAAAGCAAGTGCCCGGCAATAACCTTCCAGTGCTCGTAGGGCGCCAACAAGACCACCTGCTCAAGGGCCTTGACCATTTTGACTGCCAAAGGATGGGCCTGCCTCAAAGGTGCCTTCAATTGCAACATCCCGACGGACACGCCCCGTACCCGGGCAGACTGAGCCAGGTACGCACCCGGGTCGGTGAGGCCCACCATCGCATGAATGAAGTTCCATGCCTCTAGGAAACTCGAACCGACAGTAGGCTTGGCTGTAGCCTCCAGATGCAACATGTACCTGTAGATGACAGGCTCCGAGGCTCGAAGAGGGGAGGAGATGGCGTTGGACTCGCACCAGGCGGCAAACCTCCAAAGCGAAGAAGCCCTTTTAACCAAGGTCCCCGTCGCCTTGGCCTGAAATGTGTGCGAGAAGGACTTCCGTAAATTGTCCTCATTCTTCAGAAGCATCGCCTCAGACAGCAATGTTCGCCCGAGACGAGTTGCGTCCATATCGAGAGAAGTCAAAGTTCGCAACTTCCTCAAAGCCTCCCACCTAACTTGATCCGGTGTCTGGATCAAGCTGGTAAGCCAGATCCTCTTCTTCGCGAACTCCCCGGTCCTCGAACCCAGAAGCCCTTCGGAGACTTGCCCTGCAGCGGAAATTCCTGCTCCCCCAGGAGGTGAAGGCACCGATAGCTTCGGCCTCTTGGGAGCATGACCAAACACCCACTGAAGAGGGCCACGCTGCCACGGGTAGGTCAACGCCGGAGGGAGCTCACGGCGCCTCAACTCCTTAGACAGCTCATCGATTGCATAGCCTGTAGGATCGCTGCTGGATGCCGCTGAAGTTTCCAAGTCGTCCTTTACGTTCTGGAGAACAGGACGCTGAAGCTGGGGATGAAGCCCAGGACGAAGCACAGGAGTTGGCCTGTCGAGGCGAGCGCAAAGGCCCGCCCTAAGTCGCGCATCATCGATGTCTGCACTGGGGGAAGGGTGTTCTCGAATACCGCTCGACACTTCCACAAAACTGTCACGAAGGCTGTCCCTGCCCGCTGGATCTGACTCAGGATCAGAGAGATTTAAGCCCTGGTTGTTCGGACCCGACTCCCCCCCGCTGGAACGTCCGAAGTCAGGGGAGGATGGCACGGCATCGGAGCTAGCAGACATGTGTCAGCGCGGCAGGGATAATGTATTGCACAAGCAGATCTGGGTTTCGCGGCTGGCGCGACTGATCTGACACCAAGTGCTCTCAGAGCTATGCAGCAAAATGCGG